CCTATCTTACAATTTCTGCACCCAACCAGCCCACCATACAATCTCTATGCCCAACCAGCCTATCTTACAATCTCCGTACCCAACCAGCCCATCTTGCAATTTCTGTATCCAACCAGCCCATCTTACAATCTCTGCACTCAACCAGCCCATCTTACAATCTCTGTACCCAACCAGCCCATCTTACAAACTCTGTATCCAACCAGCCCATCTTACAATCTTTATACCCAATTAGCCCATCTTACAATCTCTGCACCCAACCAGCCCACCATACAATCTCTGTATCCAACCAGCCTATCTTACAATTTCTGCACCCAACCAGCCCACCATACAATCTCTATGCCCAACCAGCCTATCTTACAATCTCCGTACCCAACCAGCCCATCTTGCAATTTCTGTATCCAACCAGCCCATCTTACAATCTCTGCACTCAACCAGCCCATCTTACAATCTCTGTACCCAACCAGCCCATCTTACAAACTCTGTATCCAACCAGCCCATCTTACAATCTTTACCCAATTAGCCCAACTTACAATCTCTGCACCCAATCAGCCCACCATACAATCTCTGTACCCAACCAGCCCATCTTACAATCTCTGCACCCAACCAACCCACCATACAATCTTTATGCCCAATCAGCCCATCTTACAATCTCTGCACCCAACCAGCCCATCTTACAATCATGTATCCAACCAGCCCATCTTACAATCTCTGCACCCAACTAGCCAATTTTACAATCTCTGCACCCAACTAGCCCATCTTACAATCTCTGCACCCAACCAGCCCACCATATAATCTCTGTATCCAACCAGCCCATCTTACAATTTCTGCACCCAACCAGCCCACCATACAATCTCTATGCCCAACCAGCCTATCTTACAATCTCCGTACCCAACCAGCCCATCTTACAATTTCTGTATCCAACCAGCCCATCTTACAATTCTTGTATCCAACTAGCCCATCTTACAATCTCTGCACCCAATTAGCCCATCAAACAATCTCTGAACCCATCCAGCCCATCTTAAAATCCTTGTATCTAATCAGCCCATCTTACAATCTCTGCACCCAACCAGCCCACCATACAATCTCTGTACCCAACCAGCCCACCATACAATCTCTGTACCCAACCAGCCCACCATACAATCTCAGTACCCATCCAGCACACCATACAATCTCTGTACCCAACCAGCCCACCATACAATCTCTGTACCCAACCAGCCCATCTTACAATCTCTGCACCCAACTAGCCCATCTTACAATCTCTGTACCCAACCAGCCCATCTTACAATCTCTGCACCTAACCAGCCCATCCTACAATCTCTGTACCCAACTAGCTTATCTTACAGTTCCTGCTTCTAACTTAAACCTTAATTTCTCACTCGTGTGCATCATCCAGAATATTGTATTCCTAATCAAATCCATCCATTTTTTCAAATTATTAACCCTTATCAACAATATCGAAACTATCAACAACAACTGTTAACTACAGTATCCCACAATTCCATTTGCCAACTTTTTCTTTTTACCTTTTTTTTTTACTTGATGCAACGTACATTCCATACCCTGTTCAGTTCATTGCAGAAAAAAGACTACTGTATTAACTTTATTAGAACTACATCTTCAACTCACTAAAAACTTATATTATAAGCTGTATCATTAAAGTATGACTCATTTTGCCCATATATACACCTCTGTCATTTATTTAAGCTCATGCGCTACTAAAAGAGAAAATATGGTAATCATGTTTCTGCTCCTTCACTTATTTTTATACAAAGCATAAAGTGACTTTCGAGTAAATATTTACGAACGGTCGTTATAATCAGCCCCCGAAGTATTGCATTTTTGCCTCTAAAATGATTATTTCTTGTAAGCCCCCACAGCTCATTGTCAGCTTAATTACTTTTCCTCTGTACGTCTATAAACACGTCTAAATGGTGTTACATACACGTGTACTTTGTCCTGATTAATGTATGAAATTATGATTGAACATAGAACAGTATATATCCCAAAGGCAGCTCTGTTTTTCTCAATTCACTTATATAAATCTCATTTTATTTACTGTTTTATTGCGTTTTGTTCCCAGAAAGCCATTGATAAAGGTGTGAAGTATGTCAGAGTGGTGATCAAAGGCCTTGGACCCGGACGACAGGTAATCGCAGCGACGTGTTTTTCTTTTGAAAACGGTGCTTAACGATCTCATTGTGGATGTGAGGAATGGCGGTAGGTCTGTACGTCGGTTGCGTAAATTCAAGCAGACTTGTGTTATCATCGCCAAGGTGCTGAGATGACAAAGTGGATTATCTGTCCAGATATGGGTACCGCCATGGTTTTTGGGTGAATCAAGAGGATTAAAAATTTTCAGTACCTTTCCTATGAGCAGCCCTGAATAAACCATCAGATTTTTAATTACTTTCACAGTTAGTGAGAATTAATGGAAATAAACGTTACTTGCCGCACAAGTTTCATGAGCATTTTGCATGCATGCGGTCAGTTGCCCCTCTCCAGTAAAAGACTTTCTTGTGAATCATTCTTTCTCTTATCTCTTGAAAAGCAGATGCCCGCGGAGCAAGCCATTGATCACCTGTCCCATTTCCCGCGTAATTGTGCCCATCCAGACAAACATAATGCAAGTCTTGCGGCTTCCATAAATACTG